TGATATTGACAGTTCTGACATTTTATAATTTGATATCTCATCCATTACTTTCAGTTTTTTACTTTATTTCGTAAATAATAGTTCTTCAGTAAGCAATTGTATTGAAAATCTACAATTATGGATCCTTCTACACTGAGTACTATTAAAGGTAGCAATTCCTGAAAAGCCTTACAAGAAAGGGAATACACCTTATTATTTTACATGCTGATTCTGAAGGTTTTGTAGAAAATGCATTATTGGTTTTTGAAGGTAAAAAGATGGGAGATTACCTTGAAGAGATGAATTCCGAAGTATTTTAGAAAAAAATAATTTTATTACTGATTTTTTAAAACTAAAAATTGATGAATTTCTAACCAAAATGATTAAAATGTAACTAAATATTTAAGCAAATTTTATTTATTAGAATAGAATAAAACTATTTACAAAATTGTTATAACATTTAAAACACCATCTACTACTTTAGGGATAATCTTTATTTGGCACAATGAGTTAACATTGATTTCACAAAAAATATTTAAAAAAATTTTAAAATTAATATATAGGTATGTATGAATAGTTCACTTTAAAAAATATATGTTGACATGTAGTGTTATGAAAATATTGGTTCCAGTTTTCAAAACACTCATAGGCCTGTAAACTTTTGAATGCCTTTATTTGCCCTCTAGCGCATTAACCATGGGTTAACACTATATAAGCCATAATATTCACATTACTCATATAAGAGATACCAGTTACTATGTGATCCATTTGTCATTTACTGATTAACTTTTACTTTTTATACCTATAACAAATTATCCTTAAAAATGTAAACAGATTTTTATATTTTATACTAACCTGGCTACATCTGGATATTCCATTAACAATTTTCTTTAATATTTAATATCCATTTTAAAAAGATCATAATTATTCTCAAAAAGTCGATTTCAAAAGCAAGAAAAAAGTATTTCTGACATTAATCAACAACCATATTGACTTTAATTTGACAGTGACATTTCGTTTTAGACACACATTTCAGATCACATGTGAAATTTGCGACCGTTGTCTGGGGCCAATTAAAAAATTACTTCTATGACATTTATTTGTTTCTTAACCGCTCATTGGTCGTTCGCCGACTAAGGCCGATAAAGATAATTATTTCATAAATTTTGAACACGACTATATTTCGAAACTCGCTCTTAGTAAAAAATCTAGTTACTTTTCCCTGTGTAAATGCGTCTTTTCAATTCGCTCCTCCTAGTTTAAAAACAGAGTTCCACCTGCTCAAGTATGACATATGATCTAAAAGTAAAATGCGGACACTTTTAGCATCTCCTTTATTCTTTCTCAATGATTGAAACGAAGTCTACATTACCATCATAAATTGGTCGCACATTTACAAAAGGTACTTAATAACTACTTCTTAGAATAATGGTTTGTAATATTTATATTGTACCATCAGAAACCGCTGCATATCCAAATATGTAAATTAAATGGGTTATGTAGAAATGACAACTAAATATATTTTTTGAATTCTGATTCTTTTAAAAATGAATAGATAACATGTTCTCCATGTGAAAATGCATTGTTTTTCGATCTAATTGTATAATAATGTATGTGTATACCTAATTATATTATTTTAATTACTTAATTTAAGTCATGAGATTTTTAAAAATTTTAATGTAAATTTTGTTTGTTTCAGGTAAGGAATCAACTAGCTTGCTTGGTATGTATGCCACCGTTTGTTGGCTGACTTCTTTTTTTATTTAATAAACGTTTTGTTAGGAATGCATTTATCTCTAGTTCTTGTTTAATAATAACAACAATAGATATATGTAACGCATAATAAAGTGCACAATATAAATTAGATCATTCAGCCTTTGCCAAATTGTTGCATGCAGGTGGCTATGAATGCCACCCAAAAAAAATAGCTATCTTTATCTTATGTTCACCATGAAATGTATCAAATCAAATCAAATTTATTCATTAAAATAATTTACATTTTTTTAACCATTTTTTAAGACCCGCCTAAACAAAGTTTGTGTGCGGAATCTTTATATTAATTTTTTTTTACGTTTTATAAATGCTGTTTAATTTAAATCTAAGTATATACTATAGAAACAAAAACAAAGAATTTAGAATTTTAAAATACAACAAAAAAAAAAGAAAAAGATAGAGAAATATGGAAATACAAAAATCAAAACAATTATAAAAATAAAAATTAGCAGAAATTATAAAAATAGCAAAAATAATAAAAATTATAAAAATATAAAATACAAGACTAATAAAGAAAAAGAAAAGAAAGGCTACTCTCTGATACTGAAGAATATGTAATTATGTAGCATGAAATTAATATAAAACATTAAATATTTCCTTCTTAATTTTACTGTAGTTTTTCTGTACAAATATTTTAAGTTCATTTTTTAAAGATCGTTCATTTGTATATTATAATAATTGAAAATGTAAAAAGATAAGAATTGGAAAATGAAACGAATGAGATTGGAAGAAATGCTGTCCACGATACTGAGGAAAAATTATAAAAAAAAACTGGAGGAAAAATCAGGAGGAACTTAGAAGTAGGTACATATAACAAAAATAAAGTAAAAACTGTAGGTATAGCATCACATAAAACAAAACGTATTATTACAGCTAGAAGGAGAACTATATTGGGAAGACCAAACATTTTATGGGAAGAACAAACAGTAGTTAAACAAAGAACCCAATGCTATAAATTGGTAGATTAGCGAAAAAGAGAAAACGTTTGAAAATATAATAAACAAAGAATATATGAAGTGAATATAAAAAATATTCAGTGTTACTCGTAAGAGTATTTCCCAATATAATCCGATATCTAATAGTAAAAGAATTTCAGATAAAATAATAAAAAATATAATATTTAACAGGGGCGACTCGTGACCAAAATTTTGGGGGTTCACAGTAGCAGAATATAGATCCAGGTGCAGATATAGGTAAAAAACTGTCAGTGTTTTAGAAAGGTATATTATAAACTTTCTGAAACACTAAATATATTTTTAATACATCTGTACTGATACCTATATTCTGTCACTGTGAACCCCCCACGAGCCGCCACTGTATAAATATCTCTATTATAATAGTAAATACATATACCAATATTACAAAGATGAAAGCTGAAGCACCTCATTAGTTACTTATAGAAACTAAAAACCACTTTTTAATTATAATTTAAATAATCACAAGTTAATAACGCATTTTTATTTAAGACGGATCCACCATAAACATTCTTCTCTATTATCCTTCCTACTTTTTACAATATTTTCAAGAAATATAGAATAAATAAACATTCAATTCTCGTACTGAAGAATAATATCCAGAATAGCGGACTTCAGTAATTGTCACTAAGTGGTTGTAAAAACTCTTCTAGCCACGTCGCTCATGCTTTTGACCGAGCAACATACAATACCAATCCAAATTCCCTAGAGGCACTTAACCCAGCGGCGGCGCGTGGTTCAATACTTTGGGGGTGCACAACGTAAGATAAAAAAAAAATTGGGTGCCACACGACCACGTCCAAAAACATTCTTTAAACGCTATCAAACCGTCAATCTGGGTTAGCAAATTAAAGAAAGTCCGTCATTTTATCAAAATTCCAGTTTCGACAGCGACACCGATTATTACGCTCCCCACGCAAGCTACAAGTGCACTGATTTCATGTGCACGCGGGCCAGTATAAACATCGAACGTCACAATAGACTGCCGCGGTGAGGGAGGGAGAAGATTGACAAATCAGATCGAATATTCCGATGTGCAGTGTACGAAGATATCGCGACGGGCGCCGGGCAAAGTGAACGGCTGTATTTTTTTTCTCGGCTGGATTTCTCACGTTACGCATAGCGTCTTGCGATTTGGAGTTTCGTTTACGAAATAATTGATCGTTTTTTAAATAAAAATCATTACAGAATCACAGGATTTAACTAGTTTTTTATTCAAGAGGAGGCATTAAATTTGGGGGTGCACGTGCACATGTGCACTTATTGAGGAACCGCCGCTGACTTAACCACCCTAGAAGCAACTCCCGTCACAATTCATGATATAGTGGCAAAGGTTGCCAGAAAATATCGATATTATTCAGAACCTCTTTAAGTGTTGCAAGATGTGCAATGAAAAGACACAATATTATATAATATTTTATTAATCTTTATGAACCTATTATAAATATGTATGTTTTTTCTTTTCATTATTTGTAAACAATGTCTTTAAAAGAAACTAAAGAATATAAATAACACCAAAGAGTCTAGATGGCAAAATAAATTCAAACGAAAAGTATAGCAAGCGAAAGGAAAGGTGATTTTTATGTAGCTGCATATCTATATCTGTTAACATTTTCAGTGGCACCGATCAGCGCGTCATGTTTGTTTTTATTTAAGGGTATATTTACGGATATCTGAACGCGGATCCTCTATTTAACAATGAATTGAACAAGGTATAATAAGACCAAGCGTGAAATAAATAAAGACGACTGAGCAGCGCATTACCTATTAAGTGTCCTCGCGCACGATACGCGAGACTTCCTTTTCAGTCCAACTCGTCCCTAATAGATTTATGGTCTGTGTTTTAATTTTTGAATCTTTATATGCCATTTACGTTATAGCGCGTTCAAAACATTATACATACATATATGTGTTCTAAGTTAGTGGCAAAGTCTAATTTTTTCTATGTCCAGCAGCAGTGTTTTGTTCCGTATTTCATAAGAATGTTCCGTATTTCATTTTTTTTTTTTTTGATATAATAAGTTGGTTCAAATATTTTTTGGCGTTATAATTTTGAGAAAAATAAAGATGATATTTAAATATATCCCCATTAGTCTTTTCCTCTACAAGTGGCGATCGTGACAGGACCTGTAAAGAAGAAGGAAAAGGCCCAAAAATTGTGGGAATTTATAAGAATATCATTGAATCGAAAAGGAGACACATAGGTAGTGAAATTAAAGGCGACTTAGAGAATGTTTCTAAGAAAAATTAAATTTTAGTAAAATATTTCATTAGGCAACTCAGTGTTAGTAATATTAACAGTAAACCCAAACTTACCGAGCTCTTTGATAGGCTAGAGACACAACTTCAAATTTTAGGCGTCACTACCGAAAAGTGCGCAACTATCTTACTCCCATTAGTCGAATCTTGTATTCCGCAGGATACCCTAAGAGCATGGCTGAGAAATTCGTCATATGTAACCTTCAATTCCCAAACTCGTTTGGAGAAATTATTAGAATTCTTAAAAAAAGAGGTTAAAAACGAGGAGAGAATTTTTATGGCTGTTTCTGGATTTGAAGTTCCCGAAAATAAAAAAAGAGAGTTTCAGAAAGAATGCAATATAGCAACAGTTGCTCCGTTAATAAGCAAAAGATACAAAAAAAGGTATCAAAATGTGTAATATGCAAAGAAAATCATAGTTTAGGAAAGTGTAAAGATTTTAAAAGATGACTGTTGAAAATAGAATACAGCTTTTACCGGACAAAGGTTATTGTTATCGTTGTATAAAATATGGTAATATTTCCAGGTGATGTAAAGTCAATGTTCAATGTGAAAAATGCAATAAATATCATGATACGTTGATGTGTAATCAAAATGAAGAGATTCCTACCTTGGAAATAGAAAATCACAATATAGAACAGGTAAACATGTCGACCAATACCTACACTGAAGTATTTTTACAGACTTTTGTAGTGAAGTTAATAGGAAAAGATCAGTTAGGGTTCTGATAGATACTTTTTCCCAGAAATCATACGTTAGTAAAGAGGCAATTTTAGATATGGATTATTTAGAAACTGGTGAAGAAAATGTAATTCATTCACTTTTTGGAGGGTTTCAAACACTTATTGTGAAGCACAATTGTTTCAAGATATTATTGCAGCACGAGCAGGATACTTTTAGATGCTTTAGATCAGGATATATGCAACGTTTTTTCCGTGAGAATGGGTCCATGGACCGAAGAATTAATATTGAGTATCAAAGTTTACCACGAAGCAAACATACTGGCAGAAGACAGGAACTAAAATGTGGGTTAATTGCATAAGAAGCGAGGCTTGTATGGACAATGATGGGCAAAGCTAGATGTCCTTCAAGAGATTACATAAATTCTTCTAATTTTTTTATAATAACCACTTCTTATTTTTGTAGAGTTAACGCAATAAACCATTTATGGAGTCTATATATCCTTGACATTGAAGATCCTATTCAGGCGAAGTATGGGGAAGACAAAACGATGGATATTTACAATTTCTTCCTAAATAACATCAGCTAAGATGTAGAGGGACGATATGAAGTAGCACTACTCTGGATAGAAAATCATCCCCCTTTACCAGACAACTACAATAAGGAAAAGACAATATTAGATAATTTAATGAAAAAATTTAGAAAGATGGATACTATGAAGACTATGCCAAAGAGCTGCATGAATGGTATGATGAAGCATAATCATTGAAAAAATGGATCAATCTCTAGAAAGTACAAAAGACCCACATCATTTACCACATCATCATGTTATAAAGTTGAATAGTGCAACCAGAATTTGATGCGTCTGCAAAAGAAAATAATAATTATCCATCTCTAAATTAATGCCTGGAAAAAGGTATAAATTTGATTAAATTAAATAGCAGTAATTTCCGATGTTGAAAAAGCCTTTGTTCAAATTAAATTACGTGAATCCGATAGAGACTTTTTGAGATTTTTATGGTACGACAAGAAAGGAAATTTAGAGATGTATCGTCATGTTAGAGTAGGTTTTGACGTTACATATGGTCCTGTTTTACCTGCAGCAGTAATTGAACATCATTTAACGAATGTATTGAGTGAGTGTTCTAATGGTATATCTTAATATACTTCAAAATATATTGAAAAACCCATTAAGAACATCTATGTAGATAATTGTGTGAGCAGTGTGGGTTCTGTTTCTGAGATGGAAAATTTTATCCGAGAATTTAAAGCTGTAATGGAAGATGTTAAATTAGAATTAAGAGCTTGGAAATATACCATTTTGGATGATACTTCTAAAGGAGGCCCTACACGCTACGATTTTTGTGAGATTTGAACCGTACAGTCCATCGATTCAGTCCATAACTCAACGTGAAGTGCTCGATCTGACTCACATCTGGCCTCTCCTCTTTTATCTAATGTGAAGATGAAGAGTTAAATGAGCTGATTAAATCTTGTCTTTTGAACAGAACTGTGCGTTTTGGCCTGCAGGCCATATCGGAGCGTGTAGGGCTTCCATTAGAGTACTATTAGGCTTAAGTTTGAGTAGAAATGTTAAAGGTATATTTGAATGAGTTGAGTAATCTAGAATACAAAAAAAAATATCTAAAAGAGTTCTTCTCTCTATTTTAGACCCAATTTGTTTTACTCAAAATGATTTAAAACTAATCTTATTACTCATAAAACCAATAAAATCGTTTTTGATTTGTAGTTTTTCTGTATTTCTGTGTTAGTTGAAGACGCGCTAGTGCGTCGGTAGCTTGTCACATCGAATTATATTTTCATGTGCCACTGACGACCTGGCGCGTTTCTGTTTTTTCTCGAAAAAACTGAATAAAAATATTTATAACATAAGTACGGTAAACAGTAACAGTATAAGAGTCGATATTGATAAAATTAGTAACTTAACGGCTTATAAACCTCGGTCTGGTAGCAGCGAACGTGTTAACCGGTAAAGTTGTTATGGGTTTTATATTCTGTTAGAATGAAGTTTTTATTGCATTTTATGAGATATAATAAACTTTTTAATATATCATCTTACAAAATGGAAGGAACGTACAGCATATAATAAAGTGAATGGTTAAGGAAAAGCAATCCTATTGGATAATCAGATAATATGTTGTATGTGTAAATATCAAATGAATTTGTCTATATTGTGGCACACACAGTATTATAAATCATCTTATCACTTTATTGGTGACTTTAACGTTGATTTGTTATAATAAAATCTCAGAATCAAAAATGCGCATTAATATTCTTAAGGAATTTGACATGTATAATGTAGTCACAAAGACTACTCGTATCACTAAAACAAGGTTAACGTTATTGGAGCCACTTTAGATCAATGGGTGCTATAAAGTTTAAAATAGTTAAAAGCACAAAATTCGAGTCGATGGTTATAACGAAATTTTATTTTCTATTTCTCATATTACGAGTATTTGATTTAAGTGGTCTTTGCAAGTTAGTATAAAAAGACAAATGAACTACCGCTCCTACTAAAAAATGAGCGAATTCGATCGTAACTTCTGACATTTATAAACGATTATCTTACTACCCACTACCAGTTACCAAAATAAGCAGTAAGTATCGATCTGTCTCCATCATTCTGGATTTATTTTGGAATCCCTATCCCGAACGGCGCGAAGTTTCTTGAAAATATCCGGGAAATCTTGGAAGTGTTTATGTAGTGCTTGATTGGATTGGATTTTTATCTCTACGGAAATGATGGTTGTGGTTTGTTTGTCTATGTTTATCAAACGTTCAAAAGTTGTATTGCTTGTAAAACAAAGAGAAATGAGTTCCGGCTGATTGATTAGAACAATTTAGTGAAGTATATGTTTCAGAAGCCGAAAGAAAAGGACGCAAAGTACACTTCTTAATATTCGTCAGAATTGTTAATTATCAATTTACTATCTATTGTACTTCTGGTTGGAAGTTAAACTAAACTAGTGGTTCTTGCAAAAACTAGTACCGATTCTATTAATGCATCTTTATTGACATATGTCATTGATTCCCAACCAGGGGTACGCGTACTCTAAGTTAAGGAAACGCGACCACCCGGTAACTGGCAAGAAAAAATAAATTAGTAATGGTAGAAAACACAAAAACAAACTTAGAAAATTTAGATTTACAAAGAGATACTCGTGAAATATCCCAATAATCTCTAGGTACTCTCTTCCCATCACAAGGATTTTGATAAATATTTTAAAAATAATTACTAATTTTTAAATTTTTATAGACCGCACGTTTAAAGATAAATCATTTCTTCTAAATTAATTTTAAATAACAAAAACAAACTTTTATGCGTGGATAAAAAAAAGTATTGGTGATTCTTTAACATGAGGCGAATGCGTTGATAGAGAATCTGGATATCATCATCACATTCACTGCATATAGTTGATTCATTTGACGTAACCCAGTCCCTTTTGACAAGCTTATCGTGTTTATTTCCAGCAATCTATATCCAAATCACCAGCCAAAATTTACAACATTCCTCGGTTTTTTTGATATGATTGAAACTTTTTGGCCCATTGGCTGATAAAGTTTATAAAAATGACTGGAAAGTCCAAAACGCGCAACAATTAGGCAAAGTTAGAACATGTGACAGACACTTAAACCTTCCTGCGACAAGTTAGGCAAGTAACTTCGCGTCATTGATTAAAGATCAATAATCTCATGCAAGCAATTTAATTACTAAATAGTACATCAGGATCACTTGTAATTTTTTATTATGTTTACCAAATAATAAGTATTTCTTGAATTCACAAAATTTCACCCAAAACTTAGGAAATTGGTGTTATCATTTTCTTTTTTTTAACTGCGTCAACATTTTAAACAAGCGCTTGAGCCCATCAATTTTTGATTGAAGAGTTTCTCAACTGTCACATCATTTCTCTCTCCTTTGGGTCATTTTATGGACAATTCAATAATATTGTTACTTTTGATTTTAGCGCCCTTGCCGTTTTCGGCTGGTCACACTGTATAAGGTAAATTTTTATTTTTTCGGAAAAAAATTGAAAAATATCCAACTATCTACTTTTTAATAAAAATTCGATAAAATAAAATAGCCAACCAAATTTGTTATAACGTTTATCAGTATTTTTATTGTAATATCTCCATGGAAGGAACAAAATTCGTCTTTCATTGTTTGCATAAATTTCGATAGCCCTGGTTATATCCAGTTCCAATGCCGCATATTGAAAATATCAAAAGCTCTTTGGAATGGAAAATTTATAGAAATGACTAACAAACAAATTTAACGATGTATTTTCAGAAACGTTTTATGCGCATTATTCTCTATATATACAAAAATATTTATCCCAGAAAGAATTGAAAGTTACCATAATAGAATAAACGTGAAAATATTCGTTCCAAAAGTAATTTTCTATTGGTAGAAATGGCCATTTTACTTTGCAATCGCAGATTATTACCATCTATCCGAGGACATTAGTAATACACACTCGTAACGATAAACTATCACCATCAAATTCAGGAATATAATAAATATATTTAATAACATTTATGCTTTTAACTATCATCACTGATTGTTCAATGGATAATAAACAAGTAATTAAATTGCTAAGATATCTTGTGTTTTACCTTTTAAGCCTATCTACGATTATAATATATTGAATAAGAAACTTAAAAATTTAAATAAGAATGTTTTAAGAGGATGAATGAATAGAAGAGGACTCAAAACGAGCACATGAAGGTACGTAATTTTTAACACGGACACTATACTTTACAATAAGGTGTGATAGGAATATGCACATATCAGACAGAGAACGCTGTCGCTCGTCGCGCATATATATGTATCTAATGTATGTAGTTGGGCGAGCCTAAGTTGAAGTTATATCGATGATTGCTGACTTTGGTCTCTCTCTCTCTCTCTCTCTCTCTCTCTCTCTCTCTCTCTCTCTCGCTGTTATATGCAAGCCCCTATTAAACAATGTTTGACTCATTGTAAGGCATACCTTCCGTGTTGATAATTCCGTACCGGTATAGGTACTATATACCTGCATAATTTGTTCAAAATTGATTTAAAATCAGTCACGCAACCAAGGCAGAACTGAAAAAAAAAATTAGATCAAAGAAAATTTGATGACAGGTCTAAATTTAGTGTCTCCAACAACCAAACGCACATTAACTTTTGTAAACACTTTCTAACTCTAATATGCTAATATGAATAAGCACTTGGTGACATACCTTAACTCCGGCATGTGCATATGTCGTAGTCTAATATTGAAATTCGTCTTTTCATGAATACCCTAGTCAGATCACAAAGCGTCGGTATAATGTGTAA